CCAGACTGGGAGAGGCAATTGTGGAAGACAGCCTAGTAGAGGTGAACTCTCAGCTGGGCACTGAAGGGTGAGGAGGAGTCATATAGTCAATACATAGAACATTTCTATCACTTTCCAAACTTCCTTCATACCCCTTTGTAGGCAACCCCCGCCTTATCCCTGGCTCCTGGCAACATCTGATCTATCTTCTATCTCGATAGTTGCCTTTTCCAGAATGTCATGTTAATGGATTCATGTTATATGTCGCCTTTTGAGTCTGATTTTTCTCACTTAGCATGATGCATTTAAGATTCATCCATGTTGTTGAGTGTTTCAGTAATTTGTTACTTTTTAATTGTTGAGTAGTATTCCATTGTCCATTTGTTCATACATTTATCAGTTGGAGGATGTTAGGACTGGTTCCATTCCCCAAAATGTCATATTGTTTTGGCAATTAAGAAAAAAGCCGGGCCTCCCCAGTGGCGCAGTGGTTGAGCACTGGGTTGCGAAGCTGCCTGCAGCCTCTGCAACACCGGTTCGATCCCCGGCCGCAGGGCGAGGGTCCCACATGGCGCGCAGACCTCCCCTGCCGCCCGCTGCTCCCCTCATCAGTGTACTTTGTCAGTCTGCCTGCTCTGCTCTCCCCTCTGACTCTGGTGAATTCTCTCACCATCCTGCGCTTCTGACTGTGCCCAGTGCTTGTATAAATAAATAAATAAATAAATAAATAAATCTTTAAAAATAAATAAATAAAGGCAATCACTCTCTTAAAAAAAAAAAGGAAAGAAAAAAGCCAATATAAACATTTGTGTTCAGGGTTTTCTGTGAAGATAAATTTTCTTTTTCTTGGGTAGGTACCCGGAAGGGGGTTGCTGAATCATACAATAAAAGTATGTAAAGCTTTATAATAAATCACCAAATTGTTTTCCAAGATGGCTATGCCATTTTGCAATTCCACCAACAATGTATGGGAGTACTAGTTACTCTATATCCTTGTCATACGACTTGGTATATTCAGTTTTTAAATTTAAATTAAAAATTTTAAAGGTTGTAGCATCTTTTTGTGATTTTAATTTACATTATTCTAGTGATCAATATTGTGTCTATTTGGTAAAGTATCTGTTCAAATCACTTGCCTATTTAAAAAAATGGAATTGCTTCCTTCTCCCTCTCCCCATCTTTTTTCCCCTTTGAGAGTGACTTTTCTACACACAGGGGCAAATTACCTTACAAGACAACGTGTATTTTCTTACGTTTCCTCCATCAGTGTCAGACCTCAAAAATCCCAAGTAACTAGGAAAAAGTCTGTCAGAATTATATTCCGTTTGGGAAAGAAATATCTTGCTGTTACCTTTCAAGTCTCCCCTGCTCCCCTTCCCACATCACCCTGTGGTCTCAAATGTCTGCCAGCAGTCGCCTCTGAACTTAACAGAATTAAGAATAATGTGCAAGTAGTTTATACTTTCCAAATTGTTTGGAGCTTTCCTCCCCCTGTTGCCTCTGGCCACAAGCATTGGGGTCCCTCACTTTTCATGATCAGATCTGATGAGTGGATATGAGCTGGTGACAAACCTGAGGATTTTTATTATTCTTCACATTTAAATCCAACTCTTCAGCCTCAGTTTTTAAGACTGTGCATTTTCCCCTCTAATATCTGTTTTTCCTCTGTATAGGAGGCCATTCCTTTGCTATACTATGCTTCAAATATATTGCACCTCTAATTTGAGAAAAAGAGAAATGTTTTGAAGTTCGATTTTTCCCAACACTGGGTTCTACTGATGCTCTAATATCTGAATAATGTGAAAGATGTAGCTTTATAATTCAATACATTTCCATATATAAATATATATGTTAATGTATAGGACTATGTGTTAATGTTAGCTTAATTCACAAACACCAACACAAAAAGTACTTCATTATAAAATGTTCTAGAAATATTGCTGATAATCTGCATATAAACAATTATATGGCAATATTTCCATTGGACATCAGGCAAAACATCCAGTTTAAACTTTCAGCTTTTCATTCACTTTGTCATTTGTGTAGAACTGGTAAAGTTACAATATATAATAACTATCCCATCTACTCTTTAAGACATGAACCACGGATAATATATTTAATATAGTTTACATGATAAACATTGGTTCCTTCTAATAGCCTTGACTCATCTTTGCTCCTTTCTTTGCATCCCTTTATTCTAATATAATTTAATATTAGGGTAACATGCATCATTTTTAAAAAGTATCAAAATACCATTGGTTTACCCCAATGAGATCTAATTGACATATTAGTTTCAGGTGTACAGCATAATCACCCAATATTTGTATGTACTGCAAAATGATCACCACAATAAGTTCAGTTAATATCCATCATCATACATGTTACAATTTTTTCTTGTAATGAGAATGTTTAAGGTCTATTCTCTTAGCAACTTTCAAATATGCAATACAGTATTATTAGCTATAGTCATCATGCCGTACACTAGACCTCCCATGGTCTACTTCACAAGACCATGCAGGGATCTAGACTCCTTTTTATCTTGTATTTTTCAGCATCACTAGAGTATTGCTCTTGCGTACATTTGAAAATGCCTCATCATCACTTCTATTTTCTTGATAAGAAGAAGCAAAAATAATTATAATATCAGAAACCCTCATCCATGGAGTGTCTGTCAGCTCTGCTTATTAATGTGCAATTTATATTCATTTGCCTCTAATCCCTAAGTGTTGCTATTTGCTCTGAAGCACAAAGGGTTTTTCATTTTCTTTGAAATAGAGAGCCACCATCTCCCAGTAGCCTCCCCAGCTCAGAGAACGGTTTACTGGAACTCTTTTAGGTGCTTCTGTTACTTTCTTCACCAAAGTATTTTTCAAGTACTTTGAGAATGAAATATCTCCAACTCTTTCCAGGGTCACAACGTGTATGTGGTCAAGTTGCATTATGATCTTTTCCAGTGTTCCTGTCTCTATGTCTGCACATTCCATAGAGATTATACTGCTTCTGACACTGTGCCTTTTGACCAAGCTGAATTTAAAGAGATATGAGCACTTGTCAAGATTTCTGAAGTCTTCTGGTTCAAGCAGCTGGGAGACCAGGCTCCTGTCAATTATCTGCTCCTTCAAATAGAACCTCCTCTCTACAAATTGACATGCTGGGATTTGACCTAACTGAAGAACATGTTGGGCAAAAGAGGTGGGAAATGCAGATACATGGTGTCCACTTTTTTTTTTTTTAAAGATTTATTTATTTATACAAGCAGTCAAGCAGTGGGTACAGTCAGAAGCGCAGGAGGGTGAGAGAATTCACCAGAGACAGAGTGGGGAGCAGAACAGGCAGACAGACGGAGGACACTGCTGAGGGGAGCAGCAGGCAAGACAGGAGAGGTCTGTGCGCCCCTTGCCGGTGGCCGGGGATCGAACCGGCGCTGCAGAGGCTATGAGCAGCTTCGCAGCCCAGCGCTCAACCGCTGCGCCACCTACATGGTGTCCACTTTTAAGGTAACTCTGGAGGAAGTCACAGTACCATCAGTCAGAGGAGGAGCCCAGCCAGACAGTGGGGAGGGGCCTTTCAGCTGGTAAGAGAAGCTCAGTGACAGTGGTATGCCCTCCGATGCATCTTATATAGCCCCATTCCAATCCTTGGGGTTTTAACTTTGGGGTTCAATGTCCTGATTTTGTCCAACAAATTCGGAGATTGGTTTTTATTTGTCAGCCCTGTTGCTACAAGAGATAAGGTGTATTGTTACTTTGTGCTGAGATTTAGGGCTTGAGCTTGTTATCCAATATCTGCAGTCTGTCCTGTGATTTCAGAAGCAAGTACTCCATCCTACATGGTCTCCTCAAGCCTGTCCTGAGGAGGCACTTCTGGTTGAGCAGGCGATAATTTAATTAAGTAGTTGCATTGTATGGCTGAGGTTACCAACTCCCATTCCTGAGCCCTAATTAAGTCAAATAGCCAATTCCCATTTCCCCTGGTTGTCTTCTGCCTGTTTTCATTTGTCTGCTACCAATTTAGGTACCCGTTAGGATTCTTGGCAGCAAACATAAAAATTGAATTTGGCCATCTTAAAGCCTAAAGATAAAAGGAGTTTTAGGGAAAGATTTTGGATAGCTCATCGAATTCTCATAAATGCCAAAGAACCAGTCAGTAGGAACCAGGAAGATGGCAAATGCAGCCAAGGTCAAACTACAAGAATATTCTGGGCAGGACGCCCCACTGGTGTCTCTGTCACTGAGCAGTCCATGCTCTTGGCACCGTGTTCCCACCCCTACCACCCCCACTTTCAATAATTTTTCAGCTGTCCTTCTATCATTTGAGTCATCCTGAGCAGGAACATTAATTGGCTGGACTGGGGTCATGTGCCCACAGGCTAGCTGGTGGTGTGGTAGAGAGAGCCCTGGCCTCTTTGCTGCTCTAGTGGCTGGTGGGATTCTGCTTCCTTCTAACACACATTAAAGGCCTCCAGAGATGGCAGGTGTTCAGATGTGGAGTACGTACATACACACACACACAAACTCACATATACCACACACACAGCTACTTGCTGGAGTTAGGAACTTTCTGGCTTTCCACTCCTCCATAAAGCCTAGAACCTCTACCCCACTTCAGACTGTACTCCCTCTAGCCCCATGCCACGGACAGACCCCCAGACCTGAGCCCCATCAACAGGTCCTGCTTTCTCTTCGCAAGGCCTCAGAGCACTGCCGGGCAGAGTCACAGGGCAGGAAGATGGGTAGATGCATGGGGTCCAGCTTTTGTTGAATCTCCCAATGGCTTCGAAACCCTTGTATGTTAAATAGCATAATATTTACCTCTAAAAAATATGATTCTTGCCACATGTCGGTAAAATGAACAATAAGTCTTTAGTAGAATCCAATTTCCATCCCACATTCAAACTGTTTTCCAAATCCGATGAAAGAGATCTTTTGTAAGGCAAATATGGTTATATCACTTCATTAAATTACTTCAGTATATCAACATTGTAGTATAATGGAAATGCAATCAGTCCAATGTGGTGTGGAATCAAGAGGGACTGTACCCCTCTTTCTGCTCTCCTTTCTCTTCTCTCTTGTTCTTTTCAGTCCAGCCCATCTCCCAGGAAGTATAAGCTGTTGACTTCATGTATTTTCTTCCATTAAGTTTCCAGACATTCACATGCCAATATGTATCTCCTTAACAAAGACTACAAAGGCGTCACATACCTCACTTTCGCGTGACTTGCCTTCTTCACTGGGTAACCTCTCTTGGCTTCTTTCTATATCAGTAAACATGAAGATCCTTCAGTGGCTTCGTCTCCTCTCTCACTGGAGCCCCCTCATTACCAAGTGGCACGCAGTTCCCCGAGGGCACACGCCTCACCCCTCCATGGCTTTGCATGCCTCACCTCCTCTTGCATACACCTGGTCCCCTTTCATGGGACCCAATAAACTCTTACCTTCTCTGAAGGCTTCTCTACCCTCAGGAAAGAATTTCTTCCCAGTTCCCAAAATGCCCTTGGTGTTCTTCTCTCCTCAAACTCCTCGCTGGGTTTGGTGAGAGCTCAACTGCTTGTCCTCTTCTCCCACCAGACTACACACCCCAGAGGCCACCCTCTGGGTCGTAACCTAATCTGAGAAGTGACATCCCCTCACTTTTGCCATAATCTATTTATTAGAAGCAAGTCTCTAAGTTACAGCCACACTCAAGGGAGATAATCCCACCAAGGGAGGGGCTACCCGGGAAGTAGATGACCCAGGACCATTGCAGAGCCTGCCTACCACACCCCTCACCTGCATGAGCCCGTGGTACCAGGGCCAACGCCTTTCTTTTCCCATTTCCACCCCTACTCTCTCCCTTATGACCTCAGCTGTGTGAGCAACAACCTACCCACAGCCTTGGCTGTTTCTCTCAAGTGAGGATTCAGGACAACTTCAGAAGGACGTTAGCCTCAGAAGATATGGACGCAAACATCAGGTGCCCTGGTTCATGGAGCAAATTCTGATTTTATACTCTTCGGTATGACCACTGCCAGAGGTTAGCAGTTACTCTGGGTATGGAGAAGACCAGAGGCCAGACGGGCTTGGAGGCACTGTCTCTCCTGAGGCTGGTCAGAGGCCCAGGACCACATCAGGGCATAACCCCAAATCAGCCTTTCCCAAATGTGGGGGGGCTTGCAGGCTCTTCCCAAGGGCTGGCCCTACCTTAGTTGGACTTGAGGTCATTGTTACCCATGTCCCCAACTATTCTTACCAAAATCTCTGCCAAGGTGCACACTCCTTCAGGGAGGGTTTGGGCTCCATTTGCCTGGGTGCTAGTTTGAGTATCACTGTCTTTGTTGCAGAAAGACTGGGATCTGGAAACTCAGAGGTCTGTGAACCTGGCGAATGAGGAAAATACAACCTTAGTAATTTCCCCTTTGGGGTGATCTCAGTCCATTTTGGTGGATCCATTTTTCCATCTCTGATCCTCCCTTCAATTTGTTTTTGGTTTCCAGATTCTTACCTCCCTGACTCCATATCTCTTCTCTTGATTTCATACCCTAGAGCACAGGAGACCTGTAAAATTGGGCCTCCCCTCTTTAGTAGGACATGGGAGGATTTGAGAGGACTGTTCCCCTCTGCCATTCCCCCTCCAGGTAAAGGAGGTCTGCATTCACAGACATCCACAAGAGGGCGCTCTCCCAAACTACGCCTGTTCCCAGAGTGGCCAGCGGCCTCCAGGAGGCTAGCTAAATGAAAACTGACGCAGGATGGAACACTGCCATCCACGGAAAGACTTGGGCACAGGGCATATGAAGAAGTGATAGGTCTACCTGAGTCCCAGCATCCATCCAGGAGCTTGGAGAAAACTGGTCCTCAGGTCAGTTGTCAGTTTCAGGTTTCCAGAGACAGAGAATGGCCCGGACTTCTTGTTTGTCCCACTCACTCTCTCTGCCCAGGCGCTCACCCCTCCAGGGAGGGGGTACTATTCATCTTGGTGTCCCCAGGTCCTAGATGGGTGAATGACCAAGCAAGCAAATGAGCAGACAAAGTATAACACTTGAGAGACTTTGGTCCAGATATCTGTGTGCGTGTGTGAAATGACATGGATACACACTTATTCACTGAAGGTCCATTTGTAGTTTCAAAAGATTGGGAACTTAAGTACCTATTAGTTAAGAACTGGGAAAATAAATTACGGTCTACCCGTCAGTGTAATGCGTGCAGACACACACACACACACACACACACACACACACACAAACCAACAAAATGAGACGTCTAAATACCCTGATGTGGGCCACTCTCTAAGACACATTATGAGGTGTGAAGAGTGAGGCGTGGGGCACAGAGGCTGCCTCTGCATGTGCACGGGGGAGGGGCTATGTAGATGTGGGTGTGTGTGGCAAGGCCCAGGAAGGACCCCTGAGGAAACTATAGTTCTGGTCCTGTTCGCCGGGTTCTGGCTTGAGAGAGGGTGAAAGGAAGGCTGCCTTGTTGCTGCCTTGACCTGTTTTAAATTTTTTTTAAAGATTTATTTTTATACGAGAATTGGGATATAGGCCAGAGGCACAGGAGGGTAAGATTCACCAGAGACAGAGTGCAGAGCAGAACAGGCAGACCGACTGAAATACACTGCTGAGGGGAGCAGCGGGTGAGACAGGAGAGGTCTGCGCGCCATGTGGGTATCTCCCTGGCCGGACAGGAATCGAACCTGTGTTGCAGAGGCTGTGGACAGCTTCACAGCGCTGTGCTCAACCCACTGTACCACTGGGGAGGCCCTTTAACTTTGTTTTGTATGAGCATATTATTTATTGGAAAATACTTTTAAGAACACACATTTGGAGTCGCAGACTTGGGTCCCCACCCCACTGCCGTTTGCCAGCTGTGTGATGTGAGCAACTGCTGATCCTCTTTAGTCTCATTTTCTTCATCTGTAAAAACAGACTGTGAGACGTCCTCCCGGGGTGTTTCTCTGGTACATTTGGGGAGCCCGAGCTTTGCCTAGAACTTCTGCCCCTTCCTTAACTACATACAGACAACAAACAAGGAGAAACTTCTGACCAGGAGCACCCAAGGTCACGTACTAAAACCTCACAAAAGGCAGTAAAGCAAGAGATCAGTGGTGTGATCCCTGACCCACAGACCTTGGCCCCAAGTGTGGACAGTGAGCTTGACTCCCCTCTGGGTCTGCTGGTGACATTCTCTGACACCCGCTCTCTCCCTGTGTCTCCCTGTGTCTCTCCCTGGTCCCCACATCTGGGACCAGCCCTGAGGAATTCTGTCCCAAACCAGACACTCATGTCATAAAATTCCTCCTGTGTTTCACCTCTTCCTCTCTCTCACCCAGGACACAGTGGTGCAAATGAAAAGGCCTGTAACCCGTAGCCATCTGGGGTTTTACCGGGAGAGGTGACCCTGATTTCAAGCTTAATAGTCTATAGAGACATTCTCCTTAAAGTGAGTGGCAGTTTCAGGCACTGCAGAACTCCAGGCTGTGCTGTTGACCCAGTGTCTAAGCTGTGCGTGCCAGGAAGCTTCTCATTCATCATATATTCACTTGACAAAAATTAATTCAGTGCCTTCTCTCTGCCAGGGATGTGAGGAGAGTAAGCTGCCTGAGGAAGTTATGGTCCATTGGTGAGGATAAACAGTTAGATAAACTAATCATAGTCAAGTGCAACAAGCATCAGAGAGACTGCTATGCTAGGCTTTCTGGCAGTTCCAAGCACAGGTACCTGCCCCATGGGCAGGGCAGCAGGCTCCTCTTGGGAGAAAGTGAGGCTTCAGCTGGAACCCGAGGGTAGAGGTGGAGGACAAGCGCTGGTAGAGAGAAGCGCTTTTTCGCCAGCTGTCGTGAAGGTGATATGGTGAATGTAAATGGCAAGTGCAAGACCCCGCACCCTGTAAGTCTCCTTCAGCGACAGAATCCGCAGGAATTTGAGCGGTGCCCTGGCCCGGAGTTCAGAGCGGCCATCTCCCTGAAATGCCACGAGGGGGCGCTCACTCCCTGTGATTGTGTGTTTCCACCCCGTCCTTCCAGCAGCAATGCAGACGTTCTCCCACTAGGGGCTGGTTAGTTACACCTTACAAAGCTGTTACAAAGCGCCTGGACACTAGCTGCCCCTGCTAAGTTAGCGTGCGCTAGAGGCTAAGTGGCTCCTAACAGCCATGCCCTGTGTTTTCTTTTAAAGCCTAGGATTTGTTCCTCTGATGTTGCACCACCTCAAAATTTCTGAAAATAGTCACCACTGTGTGCTTTTCCTCTTTCCCACCCAGACCAGGCATCCGTGAGGGACAGTCTCTCTGGATGGGGAGGGTGCTGGCCTCAGGTGCCTTAGGGCCATCTAAGCCAGCACAGCTTCACTTCTCTGCACCTGTCACCCTCCCACCCTCCCCCAGGTCCCTGGCTGGGAATATGTCCCTCTCCAGAGAGGATGAGAACATATTCTCCCACTGATCACCTAGAGTTAGGAACGCGCTGCTTTGAACCCCACAGTCTCTGCCCAGATGGCTTCTGGACAGCATTTGATGTCTGCATGCTCTGGAGTGGACATAGTTGTGGTCCAGCCCACACTCTGCCACAATCTTGGGTCATCATCCCCAAAATAGAGATGAAAAGATGTAGCATCTTACTTTGTAGATGGCTGAAAGAACCAGGTCCCAGCAATATTCACGAGCCTTGTTCCTTTTCTCCCCTCATCCATGGAGATCTTTAAACACACAGAGAATGACCCAGGTAGCTTCCCAAGGAGGGGCCATTTCCTGACAGACGCTTCAAGCCAAAGAGGGAAGCCTGGTTTGGGGTTGGGGGGCTGTGACAGGAAGTCAACACGATCACTTTTCAACTTTCCCCTGTGAGGAGTCTGACTGAGATTGGGGTCTGACAAGGGCAGGACCTGATGAGGTCAGAAAAGGGTCAGCAGAAGGGTTTCTGGGTGAAGGAGGTGCAGACATGGGTGGACTCCATGGGTTACTATCTGTCCCCTCCAGGGACAGGAACATGACCTTAGCCACCTGGGCCTGACCTCCAGTTCCTGCACAGAGAGGGGAGAGGGCAGCCCCTGGGGTCAAGAGTGACCAGCACCTTTGTGCTCTGGGCGTTGCCTCCATCAGGACCCGTTAGAGTCAATGGGGATGTGGCCACCCAACAATACCCCTTAGGAACTGCAGTCTTCTCCCCTGTGCCACCAGAGCTGGAGCAGACCCAAAGTTGTAGGACTGTTCCTCAGAACCCTCAGAGACGAGGAGGCAGGAAGGAGGTGACAAGGCTCCTGTCTCCTCTCTGCTCCACGAGAGAAGCCCCCAGAAGGAAGCATGCTTAAAAACTGAGAACTAAAGAAAAAGAAAGAATAAATCATACAACTTATTAATGCATTTTAACAATTGTTAAATGAATACCCCAGCATAGAGGTCAAGAAATAGAACATTGCCTGCACAGGTACCCCCAGGAACCCCTGCTGTTCATCATCCTCCAGGCCCTGAGCATGAGTTAAAGGGAACCAATAGGTCTGGTACAAGAGGTAGCTTGTGTGTGTGTGTGTGTGTGTGTGTGTGTGTGTGTGTGTGTCCTTCAGATGCAGAGTTCAGTTAACCACACTCTCCAGATTGCGCAATGCAGTCATCCAAGGCAGTCCTTTTTTCCTTTTATATGTTTATTTTCCTTCTCTTATCTCAATCACTGCTCATATTTCCCTTTTCCCCACAGTCACTTGTTATATTGTATTTGGTCTATGGCTTTGGGTATATTTCACCTCTGACCTTGGCAATGAACATCTTAAAATAGATAGTGTTTTGCCTCTATATGCATTTTGGATCCCTTTCTATCCCTAACTTTTTTCACTGTTTTAAAGACCTATCCGTGTTATTAGATAGACCTGGAATCCATTGCTTCTACCGCTACCTGTTTACTCTGCAGAATGCATCCATCAGCCACAGTTTGCTTCTCCGTTCTCCTGACGATGGGCCCTTAGGATGCGCCGATTCTCTGCTGTAGCAAAGAGCACTCATGCGTGTGCCCTCGGGGACCTTGTTCGAGGATTCGCCTGCTCAGGTTTATGAGCAGGAGGAGACATGAGGATTCACATCCTCAGCCTCACTCTGGTCTTATTCTCCAGTCTCCAGTCCCAGCAGCCACGGTGCTCCCTTTTCCCCGCCCTTGCCCTTAACATCCAGCCCGTTCTGGGTGCTCCGGGCCCTCGCGCTGTTTCAGGCTGGACTTTTTCTGATTACAAGTGAGTGTGAGCATCACTTCATGTATTAGTTTTTTTAATTTCCTTTTCTTGAGATTGTTGGTTAATTTTCTTTACACTTTTTCCTTTTAGGTTTGTCTTTATCGTCGTTGGTTTGTAGGAGTTTCAAGTGTGCTGTGTTCTCGGTGTTATCCCCTTGTCAGTTTTGGGTGTTGTGAATATCTTCCCCAATCTGCACTTACTACCCATCGGTTAATTACCTTCAAGGTAGTTGGTTTCCTTCAAGGAAAAAATCCTTAAGTTTGATGTATTCAAATCCATCCATTTTTTGAAATGTTTGTACTCTGGGGGACTTATTTTAAAAGTCCTTTCCTGCCCTAAAATCACAAAGTTTTTCCTGATATGTATATATTTTGAGATTTATTTTTTATACAAGAGCTGGGGTACAGGCCAGATGTGCCGGAGGGTGAGAGGATTCACCAGAGACAGAGCCAGGAACAGAACAGACAGACCGACTGAAATACATTGCTGAGGGGAGCAGCAGGCGAGACAGGAGAGGTCTGCTGCACCATGTGGGTAGCTCCCTGGCCAGGGATCAAACTCATGCTGCAGTGGCTGGAGATAGCTTGATAGTGCTGAAACTTAACCCCGCACCACCAGGGAGGCCCCCAAATTTTTAAAATCTTATCTCTCTTGTTGGTACTTGGTATGAAATCTTATACTTTTCTCTAATTCTGGGAATTCTTTCATACATTACCCACCCTCAAATATTTCCTTCCTTTCCATTTATTTATTTTTTTCTTCCTGGAACTCTCATTTTAAAGACTTATCTATCTTCCATATCTATCAACATTTGCTCTTATATTTTTCATCTCTTCATTCCTTCCTGATACCTTTTGAGAGACATCATCAACCTTTTCTTCCAGGTCATTAATTCACTCTTAGTCTGAATCTATACTGTCATTCACCTTACATATTGAGTTCTTTATTTCGGTTGTATTTTCCATACTCGATCGCTTCTTTATGCAATCCCATTCCC